CCTGGTCTACAGAGCTAGTTCAAGGACAGCCTCCAAAACAATACAGAGAAACCCTGTCTCGAAAAACCAAAAAAAAAAAAAAAAAATTACTAGGCAGTGGTGGCACACACTTTTGGAGTCTTGCCTACATGTATGTCTGCATGAGGGTGTCAGATCCACTGTAACTGGAATTACAGACAGTTGGAAGCTGCCATATGGGTGCTGAGAATCAATCCTGGGCCCTCTAGAAGAGCAGTCAGCACTCTAAGTCACTGAGCCATCTCTCCAGCCCTGTGGCACATGCTTCTAACCCCAGCACCTGGGAAGCAGAGATGGGTGGATCTGAGTTCTGAGTTCGAAGTATACTGGTCTTCAGAGGGAGTTCCTGGATAACCAGAGTTAATACACAGAAAGCCTGTTTTGAAAAACCAAAACCCAAACCCAAACCAACCAACAAAAAAAGATACCAGGGTGTTCCCCCAATGTGGTAGAAGTATATAGGCAGTGATTGGTCTGCTACATAGAGGCTTGCAGTCCAAAGATGTGTCTGTTCCTTTGTTCAGTTAAGAACTGCTTGGGCCAGCTGGCTGATCCTGTCCAGTGAGACAGCTCAACTCAGGAAAAACTAACCATTCAGCTGGCCTAATGACATAGGCCTGTCTTCCCAGATACTCAGGATGCTGAATGTGGAGGATCAAGAATTCTAGGCCTGTCTGGGCCACAGAGTGAGTTGAAGGTACACTGCCTCAAAAGTCTAAAAGGACTGTAGTGTATCTCAGAGGTAGAGTCCTTGCCTAACATGTGTGTGTGATGTCCTGTTCCATACCCAGTAGCACTAAAATAAAATAAAAACTAAAACCAGCTACTATATCAATCATTAAGTAGACACTTCTACATATAAAACTTAACAGATTGGTTTTTTTTTTTTTTTGGTTGTTGTTTTGAAAGTCTCACTGTATAATATAGCCTTGACTGTTCTCAAACTCACTCTGTAGACCAGGCTGGCTTAAAACACAGAGATCTGCCTAGCTCTGCCTCTTAAGTGCTGTGATTAAAGGCGTGTGCACCACGCCTGGCTATAGACTTTTGACTAAAGGGTAAAGCTGGTGACTTCCCAATACAATTAAAGAGTTTTCAAAAAAGAAAAGGCACTTAGGACACTGTGATGAAACCAGATGTAGCCAGACTGGTTTGTATTCACAGCGTCTGATTTAGTACGCCTGTTTGGTACAAGGCTGCCCTTTAGGTAACCTGCAATTAGAGTGAGGACTAATGTCTTCCTTAAGCTGATAGTCAGTGACTAAAACCCCTGCTCCTAATCCAGGCCACCCAGTAGGTATAGCAAATGGGAAGTCTTTGAAACCAAGGATGCCAGGGCTCACCCCACACCTGACAAGGCCCTGGATGGAGCAGTGTTATGGAGGGAAATACTGCAGGGCTGGTCCCTGATGGCTTGGTAACTCCCACATGTGGCCTCCATCACATGTCCTTCCCTACTACGTCCTTCTGGCTATCTGCCAGACTCACTCTGGACACGTGGGGGAGGAAGTGGGAATTGTCCTCAAATGTAAACAATTACGAACGCTAATATGAGTCTTCAGGCCTGCACAGGGTTTCAAGGCAGGGAGGCCACTGTGTAGTGTCGCCCACTGTCATGGCAGCTTCACTCAGCCCATAGAACGAACGCACCACGCCAGGATCAAGCTGGAGGGGGTGTGGGAGGAGCTCCACAGTGCACAGCGACCACAGGTGAAGTGACGGGTAACTGAAAATGTGCAACTGGTATTGTACCTCCATGCAGGCCCACTTTCTACTCATTTTACTATAGACCTAAAAACAAAGCAGCTTAAAACAAAGAGAAGAGGGGCGCGGAGGCTAAACCCACACCATGGACATGGAGCAGGATGCTGCTATCTTGCAGCCAGGAATGAAGGTCTAAGTGGGCATAATTGGCAGGCAGAGGCACACAGACAGGAACCTGGGATCAGTCCTGCAGAGGGCCACGAGGGCCCACCGTGTCTGCATCTAACCCCACTTAAGTCGGTTGTGCCTCTCCAGTCACTGGCTACAGAAAGGAGGACCAGGAGAAACTACTCTGAAACGGGACCTGACTCCCAGCGGGAGGCTCCAGAGGAGGGGAGGCCAGGAAAGGAAGAGGGTGGGCTACGAAGAAGGCATGGCGGGAAGGGAGGCCTATAAGGAGTGAGGAGGCCTCAGAGAGTAGAGGAGGCCCAGGGAAGGGGAGGCCAGAGAAGTTGGCTGGGGAAGGACGCCGGGGAAAGGGAAGGAAGGACGGGGAAAGGACAGCGAAACGAGGAAAGCAGAGACCCAGAAAGGTGAGGCTGAGAGAGGAGGAGGGGTAAGGCAGGCAGGGTAGAGGAGGCCCTGCCGAGTACTCCAAGCCCGCCGCCCCCGCTCCGACCCGCGACAGGCAGCCGCGCGAGCCAGTGAGGATGCGGGGCACCGCATCACAGCCAATGAGCAGCAGCGGAGGCGGGGCCCCGGCGCCAAGCCACCGCCCGCGCCCACCTGAAGAAGAGGGTCCGGTACATCTGGTGCGCCTCGTAGTAGTCGCCCTTCTCGACGCTGGCACGCAGCTTGCCCTCCACGCGCTGGACGCCACCGCGGTTGCGGGCGCCGTTGCGGGCGCCCTCCTGCTCTGCCATCGCCGCCGCCATGGGCCGGCGCTCCGCGCAGAGCTGACGCTGTCGCAGGCGCGGTCAGGGGCGCCTCCCGGCTTCCGTCCCTGCGGCCACCGCACGCCCTCTACGGTGGCTGCGAGGAGCCTCGCGAGGGCGGGCACGTTGCAGATGGCACGTGACCAAAGGCGGAGCCACGGAGTGTGGCGGGCTCCGCCAGAGCCGCACGAGGCCACGCCCCCGGCAGGTCTGCAAAGGATCCTGCGAGCATGGGCGGGGAATAAGCGGACGGGGTGGGGTCCGCGAGCTACCGCGCGTCCCGGAAAGAACGTGCTAGTAGTCACGCGAGAGTGGGTGGGACCAAGGTCTTGGGCCGGGATACACGCTGGTTATCTGTGGTGATGGTGTTACCGGCTGCGTAGACTGCCCAAGTGGGTCAGAGGCCGCTGCCGTGAGGCTACTTTTCGCCCGCCCCTGAAATTGCCCTGAGCACGTGAACACATTTTAGATCGTTTGACCTGCCTTACACGAGTACTCTCCTCCAGGCGGCAGCCATCCTGAGACATCGGACTGGGCAGTTTGTTCAGGCTAGAACATGTGATAGAGACCAAGGAAGACCTAGCTGTGGTTGGAGCAGATGACTGCGGGGAAGGGGAGGCTTGGCCTTGATTAATTGGAGGCAGGGGTGTTGGACAAGGTCAGCATCCTTAGCATCCTTTTTTTTTTTTTAAGATTTATTTATTTCATATACAGTGTTCTGCCTACATACCGGAAGAGGGCACCAGATTGAACTGTAGATGGTTGTGAGCCACCAATGTGGTTGCTGGGAATTGAACTCAGGACCTCTGGAAGAGCAGTCAGTGCTCTTAACCTCTGAGCCATCTCTCCAGCCCCAAGGTCATGCATCCTTTAAGACTCAGATTACAGAACATTACACAGAACATTTTTTAAAAAATGGTTTTGCTAGCTGGAGATCAAATTCAGGGCCTCCTTTTTTTTTTCTTTTTCTTTTTTTGGTTTTTCGAGACAGGGTTTCTCTGTGGCTTTGGAGGCTGCCCTGAATTAGCCCTTGTAGACCAGAACTCAGAGAGATCCGCCTGCCTCTGCCTCCCGAGTGCTGGGATTAAAGATGTGCACACCAACGCCTGGCTGGGGCCTCCATTCTTGCTTAGCCTTCATTTTACTTTGAGATAGGGTCTGAGTTACTCAAGTTGGTCCTTGAACTCATGCCTCAACTTCCTTACTATCATGGTTCTTCTATGCCTGCACCCCAGTCCAGTTGGACTGGCATTTAATGGACATACCCTTGTGCATGCTGAAAGCATGGTAACAGATTAACAAGTCTGTGTACATGACCTCTAGCTATCTATGCTCACTCTTCCATGGTGACAGATTTTGCTCACTGGGCACCACCACATAAGGGCCACTTGGGCCCAGCAACACATTACCAGGTCAGTCCACCTGATGATCCAGACATTTGGCTAGGTGACAGAGACAAGTGATGCACACAGCATAAGTGTGCTACCAGGGGATAACTTGTCTGGATGAGATGGAGTGGTATGGCTTGTCACAATTTTTTCCTGGAATTGTTCCCCAGATAGGGTCTTTCTATTATATTGCTCTAGCTGGCTGCCCTGGAACCTACTATGTAGATCAGGCTGGACTTGAACTCACAATGATCCCCCGACTCTGCCTCCTGAGTGCTGGAAGTACACCACCACTTCTGTCTGAAATTCTCTAGTATTTTTAGATCCCAGTTGACAGCAGGTACCCAAGTAAGGAGAGCAAAGCCCTGGTAAGAAAGAGGATTCCTCTATAAGAGAAAACAGTCTAGCAGCAGTGGTGTACGTCTTGTCTTTAATCTCAGCACTCAGGAGGCAGAGGTAAGTGATCTCTGAGTTTAAGGACAGTCTGGTCTACAGAGTGAGTTCCTGGATAGCCAGGGTTAGACAAAAGAAACCCTGCCTTGAAAAACCAAAGAGGAGAGGGAGGGGGGAGAGGGAGATGGAGGAAGAGACGGAGAGAGACAGACAGACAGTCAGAGAAACAGAGAGACGCAGAGAGAACAACAGGAATGCCTATGAACTGAAGACACTTAAATAAATCTGTGATACTTCTGTGTACACACGGTGGAAACCAGAGCTGTTAAAGGGTATGACAATGCTCCAAAATGTATTTGGCAGGCTGTGGTGGCATGGTGCTCTGGAAGATGAGACCCAGGGCCTTGTGCCCATTCCCTTTTAGTCTGAACTGACTGTGAGCAAACTCCCCTAAGCAGGAAGAGGATGGAGGCTTTGGAGGACAGCGGGAGTACCTACAGGGTCTCTCAGAGCACACAACCTAGCAATCCCTCCCCACCCACATGGGAGAGATAAGACAAGCTGAGAAAAGAAATACACACTTTTATTATCACTTGAAATAGCACATGCACTTTTAAAAATTATAACTCTTTTATTTAAACATCTCAATAGCATCTTAATTTGGTGGTAGTAGAATTACTACCAAAGACAAATGTTCTGAAAAGCATTTACAAAAATACATTGCACAAAGTCCTATCTTGCATCTTTAAAAATAAATATTCAAAATATCTCCACCCCCAAGTCCCAAATTTAGTTTAATATAGGAAATTCTGCTCCTGTGTATAACCTGCAGTACGCAAAAATGTGTGCACATCACCCAACCTGGTCACACAGGCAGTGGCTCTAACCCTAAGGAGTGGGATGTGCTGCTTCGGGCCACTGAATCAAGTACTGCCTGCAACATGTACTAAATCCCAACTCCGAGCCCCAACGGGTAAGCTTGTGTTCTGCCAAGACTGTCTAACCAAAGAAACTTAACAATTCTTTATGTAAAACATCTGAACATTTCAAGTGTCCAGATGATGTATCAGTTATAAAGTCTGCTCACAAAATAGTCTAAATATTAAATATTAATTAAAACCAAACTTGAGTCAGGAGAGAAGGGCCAATAATGGTGCAGAGGCAAATCCAAGAGCAGCAGAAAGTGCTGCTATGGGAAAGACCAAAAGTGACAGTCTTCAGCACCACCTGATAGGGTGGCACCTTAGTGTTCCCCCCTTCAGCAGAGCCTGACACAGCTCAAGAGGTTCCTATCCATACTGTGAGTGAATCCCATCAGGAATGGCCCAGCCGAGACCCAAGATTGCCATTTTTAAGTGTGTGTTCCCCAGTGCCCTTTTGGGTCATGCTCTCGGCAAAGCCTGATCGACTCTTCTAGGGAATGGTAGGAGTCCGAGCTAAGAGCAGACAGCCCAGGACATACCCAGCTTCTCCCCACTGGGGAACTTAGAAGATGGAGCAAATTTTCCCTGAAAGAAATGTGTAGGTTTATCAGATGGAATTTGCCTTCCTGACATCCAGGACAGCCAGAGCAGAGCTTTTGGACTCTATGTGTCAGGAGCCTGGAACCTGCCAGGTTTTCTGCTTCTTGACTTTATGCATTGAAGCAAATCCCCAAACCAAAGGAAGTATCTAAGAATCATACATTCAGATGAATCCACAGAGCCGGCCAGGCTCAGAGGACTCAACATGTCCTCATGGCCATTGCACATTTATTGAAGGGTGGCAGGTTCCTATGCTCACGTGCTCTCTTCCCCAAAGGGTTCCAGTGTTATGGCGTCTTGGTATATACAGACATGTACAAGGCTGGAGTCCTCTACTGGGCAGGCTCTCCATGCACTCGGAAGCGGTAGAGGCAGGTATACTCAGGGTGGCCCCAGTTGGACAGGACCCGAAGCTCTACTATCTGGAAGGCTTGGTCAGGTCTTTCCTGAAGTTGAGGGAATAAGTTATTTTGCATTAGCAGTCACAACCACCCCCACCCCCGCCCCGACCAATCTCTTGTCCCTGTGATAAAATGCAGTCTTATTCCCGAAAAAAGCCCTGTGAGTTGTTGGTACTCAAGGCACAAGTGGTGACAACACAGAATGGTTGCCCTGTTTGGCCTTTTACTGAGGCACAGAGCTGGGCCATGGCTGATCCTCACCACCCTCTCCACATGCCTGGCTCCACAAAGGCATGAATGAGGGAGGCAGGGTCCTTGTGCTTACCAGTGTGTGGAACATCTGGAGTGAGTCCCCTTCCTGATCATAGGTGAACTGTCCCAGAGGCTGCCCCTCTTCCTGATACTCCGTTTCCAGTCCCTGCAATGACGATGCATTATAGCAGAGATAACAAGTCACTACACTCCAGTCCTGCTGCCCTGAGTGACATACAGCCATTTCCCCTGAGAGGCCTGCTGAGGCCCTCCCTGGAGGGGTACACTGACATTGGCTTTCTGTAACCCACAACCATCCAAGGGCAGGTGTGGTCACTTCCATTAAGGAAACATGCACACAGTCACACAGAGGGCCAGCTCAAGATGGCCATGATCATGCTTAACACCTGCAAAGCCCAGATGCCCTCATGAGAACTCCTGTGTAGATTCTAGGTACCCCTACTAAGGGACATAAGCAGGATGTGAGCAGTAGGTAGGCTAGAGCAATGTGGGAAGTATAGGAAGTTCTTGGGATAGATGGTTGTGGGGATGAGCAAGAGTGACCATCTCTGAGGCTACCACGTGTTATTTAGATATGCTTAAAATGGTGGGTTCTATATTAGAGGAAATATAAAGGATTTTACAATGGGAAAGGGTTTCACAGGCAATGAGAAGATGCTAACTACAAAAGAGAGAGTAACAATGGGACACTGTGACAGTGACACATGACTAAGAAAGGTGGTGAGTTCTAGAAGCTACAAGGAAGCAACACAGGAGAGGGAGGGAAAGACAGAGAAGGAGGGAGGGAGGAAGAGAGAGACAGGGGGGGGGGAAGGAATTGCTAAAGGGCCTTAACTGTGCCCATAGAATACACAACAAAACCATATCTCAAGGGCTGGTGCTATAATTCAATTAGCAGAGCCTTTACCTAGAGTCCCCCAGTGAGGAACTGGAGGCATGGTTCCATTGTAGAGCCCCTGCCTAGCATGTACGAGGCCCTGGGTTCCATGCCCAACAATGCAAAAAGGAAAATGTACTTTATCTTTTAACATTTTTCACTTCAATAGATCATAGTTGTCAAAGCATAAGTGCACAGATGTAGATGATGAATACAATCCTCAAAAGTCAAGTGTGTCTAACTTGATCTGTTATCAGGGCACATGAACTGACAGCAAATACACTGTCATGATACCACTGCAATATGGCATTCCACTGATGCTAACTTAGAAGGATAAAGGGATAGGGTCAAGGGCTGCCCAGGAAATCCACTCAGAACATTAGCCTCTGGATAAATGAAACATCTCCAAGGGTGGAGAGGAGAAGGCTGTTTCCAAGATTCCTAGCAGTGATGCACTCACATAGACTGCGAAGTCTCTGGGGGCACTGGAGATGTTACCAGTGGGCGACAGCGTCTTTGGAATGTGCTCCATGGTGAATGTGGTTGGGTAGATCCTCATGGACAACCGCACCACCAGGTACCCCTGGGAGCCTTTGAATGCCCAGCAATTCCCTGGGTAGATGTCGGGCTAGGGAAAGAAAATAGTACAACTCAAGCTGGGACAAGCTTAACCATTATAAGAACCAAAGTGATTTTACAAACCATCATGAGCAAACCAGAAGCCTCTGTGTGTCCAAGTCACTCTCTCTGACCCCGAGTCTCACAGCTAAGGAAACCAAAGCTGCAAAGGCTTGAGTGCAGGGGCAACATGTTGCTCCTCCCCCTGAAGCCTCAGTCACCAAAAAATGCAGGTGGTCCTGAGAAGTGGTGGCCCTGCTCAGTTTCCTGGAAAACAGCTAAGACCTAGGCATTGTCTATCCTAGGTGGCCTTTGGTATTGAGCCACCTAAGTCCTGGGTGGCTCAGGACAGGGCTTGTCACCAGAGTCAAGTCTGGATCATAGGACTGGGACAGTGAATTCCAGGAAAAACAGAGGGGTTGATTGTTGAGATGTCCAAGTGTACCTGTGTGTCTATGCAACTATTCTTCCATAAAAGCAAAAGGACAGCAGAGTGGAGTGGACAGTACAGAGGCCTGTCAATACCACACTGTCTACCAGGCACACCTGTGATGCCCTCATATTCTCCATGGGCACAGATGAAATTATCTTGAAAGTTTGTGGATAAAAAAAACATAAAAATTACAACACGGCCTATGTCTAGGTGAATGGGACATATAAAAACCCAGTGTTTGCCAGTTAAACCTCAAAGCCTAGGGCAGGGAGCACTTTAGATCAGCCGCAGTTATAACTACCAAGGCCACACTGTCACCTGTCAACACTTTAGACCAGCCTGCAGTTATAACTATCAACGCCACACCGTCACCTGTCAACACTACTTGCCAGACACATTTCAAGGTGACAGATGTCTTAGTTTTCCCCAGTACTAAACCTTGGTACACTGGTACAATATTCTTTCATTGTCATGCATTATGACATACCTTCCTGAATTTGGGGACTTTCTGGCATTTCCCATTTAACTTTTAGACTACAGATGACTGTGGACATTGAGCTACAGATAGGGAGATTCCTGGGATGAGGAATTCAAGGTCCTCTGTAATTAATAGGGAGCTGGAGTCCAGGCTAGCTAGAAGACCCTCTGAAAACAGGGTGGGCTCCTGCACTGGGGTCCTCAGTCTCAGGTCTGCTGGCAACACTCCATTTCCTGAATTTTCAAAGGCTGGGCCTGTGTACATAGGCCAAAGAGAGACTCACTGAGTGCTTCACAGAAAAATACTGGAAATTACTTCAAAATGTGAACACAAGGCAGCATGCTCAAGTAGGTGAATGTATCTGACCACTCAAAATTTTCCTTTCACCTGTGAGGCAAGCTACAGGGAAGCAGCAGTGCAGATAGATGCCCTAGGTAGGGGACATGGTGACTACTTCCAGTCCGCTAGGGCTCATGATAGCACAGAAGAAAGCAACCAGGACTGTCCCTGTGGCCCTCCTATGATGCTCCCTTCCAGCTCCCCTCTCTGTATAGCTTCACAACAGGACTAGGCAGCGTCACACCACCTGGGTCTCAGATTGGATGGAGAGGCTACACGGCACATGGCACAAGCCAGCCATGCTCATCCAGTGCCAGTGTGAATTCGGAAGTATGGCCTGGTGCCCCAGCGAGGCTGCTCATAGAGGGCTAGGGCCATACCAATCCTGTGTGTCTGTTTTACCTTTATGAGGAGCTGAAAAATGCAGAGTGGCCTTAGGTGCAAGGCCCTGTGAACAGCAGCTCACCTGGATCACCACACGAGGTGACTGTGAGAAGTACCACAGTGGGATCCCAAACAGGCTCAGCAGTGCCGTCTTGGTCTCATAGGTCTCAGAGCACCGAGTACTCAGGATGCTGCCACCTGAAACACAGGGACACTTGTGTCACACCTTATGGCAACATACTAGAAAGTGAGAACCAGAGGCCAACAGTACTTCTTTTTTTTTTTTAAAGATTTATTTACTTTCACATGCATGTATATATATGTGAGGGTACAAGATCCTCTGCAATTGGAGTTAAAGACATTTGTGAGCTGCCATGTGGGTGCTGGGAATTAAACCTGAACCTCTGGGAGAGCTCTTAATCACTGAGCCATCTCTCTCTCCAGCCTCAAGCACTCCCCCACCAAAGTGCTTTTAACAGCCCTATACTTTTTGTTAAACACTGAACTCTTTTTCTTTTCATCTGTGTGAGTCCAGGTATGGGTTAGAGGCCTAAAGCTGACAATGGCAGTCTTAGGTTAAGAGCACTTACTGACTAGTTCCCAGTACCTACATGGTGGCTCACAACTATCTGTAACTCCAGTTGCAGGGGATCCAACTGTTCTCTTCTAACCTCCGTGGACACCAGACACACACTGTAGAAAGACATACATGCAGAGAAAACCACTCATACCCATAAATTCTAAACAATAACACACACATCATTATCATCTCCATGCCTCTGGGGCTGGCACATGTGCTGGGATCAGGCTGAGCATACCTCAAGAACTCAGTACAGCCTCAACCTCGCAGTGCAAACACCCAGCATCCTCTTTCCCCTCATCTTAGCTCAACAACCCCCAATGGCTACTTGAGCACTCAACTTTTTATTCAGCAGATTGTCTTTCACATCAGTCCATTTACCCCTTCACAACAGTGTCTGAGAATGCAACTGTAGGGACAGTGACTCTCCCAGCTCTGTTCATATTTTCCTAAGTAAGGGTGATAAAGAGTCCCACAAGCACTGGTGTTAGGGGCAGGTAACTTACAGAGACTACCTAACTGGCCAACAGGAGGGACTATTGTGACAAATGCCATTAGCCAAAAAACACTGGGAGCAAGAGTAACTAGTGTGGGGACAATCACTCTGCCCTTTCAGTGGAGCAGACAGACAGGACATTAATATTAACAAGAAATAACTGGTGGAGAAATGGCTCAGTAGTTAAAGAGTACTTGTTGCTCTTGTAGAGGACCCGGGTACTGATCCCAGCACCCACATGGTGGCTCATAACCATTCGTAATTCTAGTTCCAGGGACCTGATGCCCTTTTCTGATCTCCAGTCACCAGGTATGTGGTACACACATACATAAATACAGTCAAAACACTCATACACATAACGTAAAATAAAAATAAATGGGGGGATTGAAATCCCACAGAGACATAAAGCAGGTTCCTCCCAGCCTTCAGAGTAGATGCAATCCATCTATTTCAGTCAAACTTCAGTGCTGTCTCTGACATGCGCCGAGGGGGGAGGCAGCCCAGGGAACAATAAAATAGGCAATAACGGCTTTGAGGCTGCAGATGAAGACCTAAGTTCCTGGATACTGGCCAACTTCTTAAATATCCTCTCCCTAGTCTAAGAACAACTGTTGGTGCAACCTCTTGGGGCCTCAGGGGATATAAGCTGGTGACACAAATCCACAAGCTCCAATATGGCCTCAAAACAAGTGACAGCTGCCAGCCCAAATAGCATGGCTAAAATGTCATTCAGTGCCTCTGATCTAAATATAATTTCTGATGTCACTTCATTTCACAATATTAAACTAAAATCAGTCTTTTGTTTTTTGTTTTTAAGTCATTTAGACCAGAGGCTCCTTCAGAAACATGAACAACCCTGCTAATTCCACCCAGCCTTAAGAAACTGGCTGTTCCCACACTAAATAGTAGACTTCTGTCACACTGAGTTTCAAGTGATGTGATGGCCCAGCAGTGATGGCAGTCAGGCTGATGAGCACCCACATCACAGGCTGCTCAAGTTGGGACACAATGTCTCCGCTGGACTAGGCCCATCACACTCCTCTGGGAGCTTAAAAACTCATTCTTTAAGAGACGGTGTCGGTCTGCATCTCACCTGTAGTTCCTAATTTCTAGAAGTACAAACAGTCATTTCTGCATGGCTAGTGTAGTGGAGCCTCCTGAGATGCCTCACGCCTCCCAGTGGTGTCTAAATCCTCGCATTTCCAGAAAAGGCTCACAGGCCTCATCCAGGTGTGCAATTCCAAAGCCAATGCACATGTGAGGGCCCTGTGGTCCCTACCATGAGAGACCATGCTTTGTGGAAGCAAGGCAGCTCCTATCCTGCTGAGCACTCAGTCTCAGCAACCAACTCTCAGTCCTAGCACTTGGGGCTAAGCCTGGGTGTGCTCTGTGAATATGTGGGCCCAGTTTACACACCCCAATGGGCAACTTTTCAGTAAGAATGAGCATTTGGGCCTCATCAAGAGTAATACTCTATTGTCACACTAAATGTGTGGCAGTAGCCTATAGTGGTGGCACACATCTTTACTTTCTGAGTCTGAGACTAGCCTGCTCTACAGAGAGAGTTCCAGGATAGCCAGGGCTACACAGAAAAACCCTATCTTGGGGGAGGGGTGAGGGTAGTGTGACACTGTCCTTTAGGCCTACCTGAATTCCTGGCCTGGTCTTTCATGCTCATGCTAGACTCTTCTGTTGGTTACTCACCTCCAGACTCCAGAGCAAAGTCCACCATCCCAGTCTTGTCTTGGGAATACAGTTTCAAAGCATTGTTCACAATGATGTGTGCTTGCTGGTAGCCCAGAAGAAAGAAGAATGAGGGTTAATGATGTAAGCAAAGGCTGGGAACCTCATATACTTATGCCTAGAGAACACAAGCATGCTACATTTCAGCCATGGCCAGTAAATGGGTGGGATGGGGTCAGACACTCAACATTATAGCATGATACTTCACAGCAGGTACCAGAACTAGGGCATCCTGGGCACTGTCACCATCAACGGGGGTGGGGTGGGAGGAAAGGTTGGCCTTCAGGGCTGGGGCGTGGCAACGAAGGGAAGCTGTGCACAGCTGGAAGCTGTACAACCACAAATAGGTACATGGGAGCCCTTGGGATAAAGGGATTCAGTGAGCGCAAAGCTAAGGAGTGCTTCCAAGTGACAACAGCGGCAATACATCATCTGTGGCAAGGCTAAGTACATTGTGTTCTCAGAACACTAACACCCATGTAACCACGTATCTATAGTGGAGGCTGAATCTGTTTACTCACCGCTTCCGTAATTCCTGAAACCCCTGCCTCGCTCATGGCAGACACAATAGTCTCAGATGTTGGGACCTGTCCTGTCACTGTGATGTGGTGTGTGATATTCTGCAGCACTTTCAGCTCAAGGTCACGCAAAAGCACCTGCAGCTCATCCTTGCTCACGAACCGAGAAGAAAGCTTTTGCAATAGCCACTCGAGGGAGCCATTGTGCTGATCCTCAGAGAACATGAGTCTCACAGTCTCCTGGATACGGGCATCTGCCTGGTGAGGCAGAGGAAAGAATGGATAAGTGTGAAGCACTATAGTAGCAAACTGCTCCCCAGCCTCAGGTACCCCAGAAGTACATCTCGGCAAGACAAGGCACAACTGTGACATAACTGTCCCCTTAATATTAAAGAATTCTTCCCAAACCACTGGAGCCTTCTAAACCAACTAGGAATGGACTAGAGTACTGCACGAAGGCCATTTACCAGTGAACTAGAAAGGAGATATGGGTTTTCTGATCCCCACTGTGTCTACTCAGCAGGTCCCACCACACAACTCCACAGCTGAGGCACAAGCAGGCCCCTGTCCTCACTGCTCCTTATAAACGGCCTGAGGTGTAGCCAAACAGAAAGCTGACTTGGTCCCTATGTACGATATACAAACTTCTTTTGCTTCCCATGGAAACCATCAAGAGTAAAGCATGGAAAGGCATCCATCTACTACAAAGCTAGCAGGGATCCATACCTTCAACCCTGTTCTCTGTCCCCACAAATGGCCCCACTGTGCATTCATTCTTCCTCAGTCTCCCAAGACTATCTGATCCCTGCCCATCTCTGCTCATTGCCACAAGACAGTATCCCAAAGTGCATCTGTAAGTGGATACTAGCAAAGACTGCAGGCCTGCCAGCCCACTAGGGAGCACCCAGGACATGTAGTGAGGGGTTTGTATTTTAACTAGCAACAGGAGACAGATTCCTACCCATGCACTTTGTCGTCCCCACCCATCTCTCCTCCTACCTGCTCTGGAAGCTCTTTATACACAGACAACTAATTCATCAGACATGCCACAGACCAATTCTCTAATCTATGGTCTGAATGTGGCTCACGAGGACTGCCAACAAACTGTCTGCATTCTCAACAGACCCAAGAATGGTGGGACATATCACATCTGTGACATATTATGACATAGATGGGTAAGTGGCAAAGCAAAGTCGGGTCCTACTGTGGAAGCGCTCGCTCTCCCTCTCTGCCCTCCCCACGCCCCCACTGTGTAATCAGGAAGAGTCATGCAGTGAACTCAGATGTGAATGTGCTATGCTGTTAGGATTGGGACACTGAGGAGTCATCAATGTCTGACTTGAAAATATTTACAACCTCCAAGTATGGATGGGGTGCAGTTTGGTCAGAGCATTTGCATTGCCTGTGTTTGATTCTGTGTTCATGCCCAGCACCACAAAAAAAAAAAAAATAGATGAAATCTTAAAATATAATGAGAGAGAGAGATGACTCAGTAAATAAAGATGCCTGCTACTAGACCCGGCCGCCTATATTTGATCTTCGGGACCCATATGGTGGAAGGAGAAAAACAACTTCTCCAAGTTGTCCTCTGACCTCCACATTCTTATATTCGTCTGTTTTGTTTTGCTTTGTTTTTCAGTACAGGGTTCCTGGATTCAGAGGTCTGCCTGCATCTGTCTCCTGAATTTTGGGATCAAAGGCATATGCCACCATGACCCAGCACATTCTTACATTCTTGTGGCATACATGTGCTTGCACAGTCACACACACAATAAATGAATTATTTAAAATATAACATTTTTAAAGGTGGGGCTGGAGAGATGGCTCAGTGGTGAAGAGCTAGCTTTTCATGAGGATTGGAATACAGATCCCATAACCTCATAACAAGCCATGTTCCCACAAATGCCTGTAACCTCAGCTCTGAGGGGAGCAGACAAAAGAAGACTTCTAGGGCCTACGGGTTTCCATTTAGGCCAAGACACTAGACCCAACCTCAACAAGAGACCCTGCCTCCAAGGGAATGGGCTTAAAATGATGGGAAATGACACTTTATTCTGGTCCGTTCATGTCCCTGCATCTGTCTGCACATGCAAACATGTTGGGGGAAGTCCTGTGCATTTGTCAATAAAGTACTGTTGAGCCTATAGGAAACCTAGATAGGAGGGACTAGGAGTCCAGGAGAACTCTGGGAAGGAGAAAGACAAGAGAGTCGACATGTGACGCCATAGGGGTAAGAAGCCGGGAACTATTCTCCGGTAAGAAACATACTTAGATTAACAATTATGGGGTAATTACTTAAGGCAGAGCTAGCCAGTAAGAGACAAACAAGGCCAACAGCTTCATAATTAATATAGCCTCCTGTGTGTTTATTTGGGACTGATGCGGATCTAGAACCAGGCTGGCGCGACAGAGCCCAGGCGACTGGCGGGGGGATAAACCAAAGCGGCTAGCAAAAGAAAAAGCTTCACTTAACACAAACACACATAAACTATTCTTTTTTTAAGTTTTAAAGGCAGCCACTGAGAAACATCTTGACATAGTCCGGGGGAGAGCTTTCTCCAGGCAGAAGTTTCCTAACACTAGCACGTACCTGCTCACAGCTGGTCCTCAGATGCTGCCAGTCTGACAGCTGAGACTTCAGCAGGTTCAGCTCCAGTTCTAGGTGTTGCACACGGTCTAGGAGGGGCTGCTCTTCAGTCCTGCTGGAAGCCATCAACCAGGGAGGGGACAGGGGTCAGGGCCCAGATCCACTCAGAGGAGGCCTCAACCCTAAACAAAGCAGCATGTCTATGTCCTCAAAATTACAAGTAAGATCAGGAATGAGCTGATGTTGTATCCACAGCCCTGAGGGTGAATCTGCAGTTCCATGCTCATGGGATGGACAATGGAACTGAAGATGAGATCACAGTATGATTAGTGACTGACCTTGGGGAGGAGCTATGAGCTACCCATGAACCAGAGCTTTGCAAGGGATGCTAACAAGCCCAGCTCAAATAGAGTTCTCCAGATAAATGTTCTGCATCTATACATTCACATGTCAAGTCAGTATTCACTGAAACTAGGCCTGGGAAGAGCAATGTGCACCACACTCCTGCCCACCCCACTCCACCCCACATGCAGAGGGCCCATTAGCTGGCAAAAGCTGCTCCCCAGCCACCCCATCACAGGAACTACAAAGGTTAGTACACACAAACCCACAGTATGCAAAGAAAAGGCAGTGCTAGGGACAAGGAAAAGCTAGCATGAAGCGGGAACAAGCACAACTGCTGAGGGACCAGGGCTTTGCAGTGGCACAAGGGCCACCAGCTTCAGGTACTGAAAGTTTGGCAGTCACAAGAAGATGCATGGGCCGGGCATTGGTGGCTCACGCCTCTAATCCCAGCACTCGGAAGGCAGAGGCAGACGGACCTCTGTGTGTTCGAGGCCAGCCTGGTTTACAGAGCAAGTTCCAGAACAGCCTCCAAAGCAATACAGAGAAACCCTGTCTTGAAAACAAACAAACAACAACAACAACAAAAAAAAAACACCAAACAAACAAAAAAAGAAGATGCATGGTTGCTGAGCCCAAGGCTGGGCTGGGCTCTGAGACACCAATGGAACCAATGAGGCCAGAAACAGAAAGAGGCTCCTGGCAGAGGGAGTCCCCCATGGCCAAGCAGGGGCCTATCAATACACTGCCTGAAGAAAGACATTCCCAAGTTCTTTAGGGCCCTCTGTCTCTTGCATGGTCCCACACTGACACCCCAAAAGATACCCAAAGGCTGGTAATTTTAGGTGGCAAGTGACAATTTGAACTTTAGTAGTCAGTAAATAGTTGGTTACCATGCTCCATACGAGCAGAGTACCATGCCAGACAAAGTCAGAGCTGAGGTCACCTACCTGCCTGCTCTCAGCTTGCTTTCTTCCAGCTCCTTCTGGATAGCCTGGGAAGCAGGGGAGAATTTGTAAACAGTTATACCCTGAGTTCATAAATGTCTCAGTAACTTAAAACATCACATACTGAAAGATGAGTCTCAGCTTCTGAATGTTTGGGCAAAGGCATCGAGGTGTCTAAGGCTGGGTCTCCTCTTGACTCAGGTCAAGTGCATTCTGGGTCTCCTGACAAGTTGAGGCCCTTCTTCCTGATCAGCTGAACTCTCGTGACACCAATAATCAGAAGTAGGAGCTAGTCCCAAGAGCCTAAGGGCTATTCTGCTTACCCCCATTCAGTAAAACAATGTTTCAGTTCAGTTCAGTGAGCACACAAGTACCTGCCATGTCTAGCTGTATGCTGTGCCCTCGCCCAAGAATCCTAAGCCTCGCCCAAGAGTCACATGGTCTGTACTGCAGACCCACCCACAGCAAGACCCAGTTTACCATCACACAACAGTGAGACTCTGCCACCCACAGTGATCTTATGCAAAGCATGTTCTATGTGTGCTTTTTGGTGGAGACTGAGTGATGCAAGGGGCTCATAGGGATTCACGAGCAGGATGTGACTGGATTTTCAAGCCAGCATAGCCACCTCTGTTCTGTCAGGCTCACAGGTCAAGCAGTCTAAGCAACAGAGTTGAAATGCCCAAAATACAAAACTACAAGACATAGTCCTTCCAGCTGTACAGATCAAAAGCAAGACCTTGAACAATGTAGTCCCTGGCTACAGCTTTGGAGAATATTGGCAGCCAGTTGATCTTTATTAAAAAACTGGTTTGGGGGATCATCAAAGGGCTCAGTGGGAGAATGCACTTGTACTAATTTTGATGATTGGAGTTCAGTGCAAGCCCCACAGAGCAAAAGGTGAGAAATGACACTGGTAAGCTGTCCTCTGATTTTCACATGCACTGTGACACGCATATGCTCTTACCTAGTAAGTGAGAGGCCCTGGGTTCCATTCCCACAGTCAGGCACAAGAACACCACACCCACCCCTGAGGCATGCATACAGGCAGAGTTTGCTTTTATGTGTGTGTGTGGGGGGGCACTCCAATTATAAAGGCAAGAACAAATACCTCATGGCTGGGGAGAGGGCTCAATGGGTAAAAGCATTTGTTGTACAAGGGTAAAGACTTGAGTTCAAAACCCCAGCATTCATGTAAAAAGCTGAGTGTACACATCAACGACCCTAGTGCTGTGAGGGGCAGAGAAAGGGGGCTCAGTGAAAAGACCTGTTCTCAAAGGAAAAAGGCAGAGGAAGAGCATGGTTCCTAGTGCCCTCCTCTGTCTCCATGCATGCACTCCTACACATGTGCCCGCATCAAGCAAAACACAACAAACAAACCACAGTAAAAGAATAAATACCTCAGATTTTTCTGTCAATTTTCTAAGAACATCTTCCAAGTTGGAGAGACGCACTTGATGGTCATGGTGGAAAGTCATGAAGTCAGTCTGGCAATGAAAGTGCAGAGGGAACAGCTAAGGGAGTTCAGCAGCACACACATGCCATCAGGGCAGGCCAGCAATTCTTACTGCAGTTACAGGGTAGCACAGCATCTGCAGAGATTTTGTCCCCTAGCCACACCACATCCCTCCCTGGCTGGAGGTCTCAAACCCGAGAGAAATCATACAGTTTGTTTTGTGACCTCTATATAAGAAGTAAACCAAGTTATAGCCACTCACAGACCCACTGGGTACTGTGACCTTCACAGTTCTAAAATAAAACCCCTATGGATAAAGACCCAGGGCACACTCATTCCCCTCTACCATCTCTTACCCACACATGAAATGTCCACACTCACTGGCAACATCTAGAAGCACCATTCACAATCAGGTCCCATCACTCAATTAGGTTACTTATTCAGAAGGCGGCTAGCATGGTGGTACAGGGCTATCACCCTAGCCTTTAGGAGGCTGAGGCAGAAAGATTCTGAATTCCAGTCTAACCTTTTGGGGCTCAATGAAGCCATAATCAACTAACACATGAAGTGAGATTTCTTTCCATGGGCTAAGTGTAAGCACTGACCTAGCATGCACAAGGCCCTGGATTAATTCCATCCTTAGTACCATACCAAAAGAAAAAAAACTTTTTGTGTTATACTTTAGATAGGATGTGTCACCTCATAAGGCTTATGTTGAAGACTTGGTCCTCAGCCTGGTGGGATCAATCACTGAGATCACCAGATTACTGGAGCAGGAGGGCTCCACCCTACCCATAGAGTAGACCACAGATGGATTCTTCACCTGCTAACACCACTGGGCAGTGGTAGCAATGCTTGAAGGAAGGGCTTTGTTGGAAGTAGTGTGGTACCAGGGATGTGTCCAAAGGGTAGATCTTGTCTTGATCCCTTAATCTCTGCCTCATTTGTGCCATGAGGTGTTCTGTCACAGCGGCAAGAAATGTACTGAGAAGAATAACCGTTTAGGCTGAGAGCAATGTTGTGCACACAGAATACTTAAGGAGTTTCTGGGTCTTACCTTAGCACCAAGTGGGTCTGTGGTTCCCATCTCCTGCAGATGCTGTCCAACCACATCCTTGACCCACAGTGACAGCCCTTCCCTGCCATCATCCACTTGGTCCACCCGCATCTGGAGTTTCTGAAGCAGGACCGTCAGCTCTGCAAGTCTCTCATCATGGTTGTGACACTGCGCACTCAAAGAGGCTACCTTCTGTCCCACATCATTCTCCTGAGGCCACTGGGAAGCCTCATAATCAACCTGAGATGAAATCAGGACACTGAAGTCAAAACCAAAAGGACACTCCAGTAGTAGGCTGTAGTTCTTTTCTTTCTACCTTCATGTTGTACAAAGTAAGAATTGCTACTCATTCATACTCAGCTGAGCATGGAATACATAATTCTGCACTAGTTGAACTATTTTAGAACATCTGAAAAGCTATAAGACTTGGTGTTATTTTGTGTTTTTGTAATTTTAGGGCCATGCATCATACATGCCTTTAATCCCAATACTTTGGAGGCAGGGACAGGTAGATCTCTGTGAGTTCTAGGCCAACCTTGTCTACAAAGTAAAAACCTATCTTAAAAAAATTATTCCCCTCTAAGGCAGAGTCCAAGGTCACAAGCAGTGTGAAAAGCTCTAAGGAGCACATGTTTGTGGTGCCATCAAGACCTCTCTTGCTGGTTACCTTCAGAGGTGGGCTGGGGGGAACAGGGCCAGGTCTGTGCATGTCCTCGGAATTGTACACCCTCTGTGCTGGCTGCACAGTCGTCCAGTTCAGCACTGGTAGAAGTGAGAGGAAGTTGCTCTGGCCCCATAGGGAGAGACCAGCACCTGAAGAAAGAAGATAGCTGTGTGCACATGGACAGGTGCTCCAACATACTCAGATACTGTGTCTACACTGCCACCTGTGGGCATGTGCTGGTCTTTCAACGTCATCATGCCACATCTTACCTAGTAAAAGTAGGAGTGGGAGGAGCAAGACAAAAACCTTGCAAATATTTCGAAGGCACCTAAGAATAGAAAGGAAACCGTTACCTTCAGAAAGACAGAGGCAGAGTGCCATTCTGCCCCTCCTTGTGTACACGCTAAACACCCTGCTAAAGTTTTATCTACAAGGCTCGGCCACACCCACAGGAGGCCCTTTATACACAGCTTGCTAGCAATCTGAGAGGTGCTAGCTGGTACCGCAAGAAAGATCCAGAGGTCTGAGGCCCAGTCCTGAGGGTAGCACCCACTGTGGTAAGCTGGTGCCCATAGAACTGCACTAGGGCACAAACAAAGGATCTGATTGGGCACTCCAGCTGGATGCTTTATATACATCCAATGTGCTTAACAATGGCAGCAGCCTTTTCAACCTTTGTTAATTTGAAAAACAAAAATATGAAGGCCCTTTGTAAAACATATAAAAATGTATTGATGCAGACACTGCAAATGTATTTGAGCCATTACAGAAATGCCTACAACTGGTAGAGAACAGCTGTTTACCACATCATGCAAACACAGGCTCTATCCAATGCTGACATGGTGTCCTGACCATGAAAAGGAGCCCCCAACATTGACATGAGATACTCATACTGACAGTTTCTTACCTGGTAAGAAGAAACACATTCAGCCAAGAAATCAAAGTAACAAATTGGTACCATCCACTCCCTAGCCACCAGAAGGCTCCAGAGGCTGCCTTCCCTAGGAGAGAAGAGAGCAAGCGTTCTGAGGAAACATGCTTTAGAAGCTGCTCAGTACAGAGATGTTTCTGGGAGGACACAGGCAGGTTCTCTGGAGGGACAAAGGCCCTGTAACACTAGTCATTAGGGCAGGAGAATGGTGAGCAACACCAGCTACACACAGGATGAAACAAGGGGAAGCACCATTGCCATGCAGCTCAAGCCATGTATCATGAGAACTATGGCCCACACAACCAACATGTGATAAACAGTATGCCATGCACCTAAAGCAGAGACAAGCATGTCACATTGGACACCTAACATGAAGCTCCAACCTGGACCTGTACATTGCTTATGGCTGCCCTAAACTTTATGAAAGCACTAACACAGAAGCCACATAACCACCTGGAGCAGTGACAGCCAGCCAGAGCACCGACCACATGGCCTTGGCCACAGACCACCCAGCAGCTCTGGTCCTGTGTAGTGCTTGAACCAAGAGGTCACCTGTGGCAGAGAAGACACGGCAGAGGGCACTGTCAGATTGCAGGTGCCAGCACATACTGACAGTACAGAGAGCAAGGCTGCCAGTATACTCTGCCCAAACTCCCTCCTGTATTCCAGGAGGATGCTCAAATCTTGAGAAAACATTGCTGTCCTCAGTTAGACTTCCTCATACATATTTTTTGTTTTGAAACAAGGTCACCTGTATCCCAGCCTGGCTTTGAACTCGCCATACAGCCAAAGATGACAAACTTCCAGCTTCTCAAGTTTTGTTTGGGAGGGGGTACATTGATATAGGGTCTCACTATGTAGCTAGCTTTAGCTGTCATAGAACTCATTATGTAGACTAGGTTAGCCTCAAATTCACAAGAGATCTACTCCCTTCTACATCTCAAGTTCCCAAGTGCTGGGATTAAAGGTATGTGCCACCATGCTCAACTCACCCATAGATTCTTAAGAGAGAGGCAGGTACCTCTTCACCACACCCTATCAGAGGGTCTAGAAGGTGCTCATAAATGCAGGTGAGTGGTGCCTGAGGAATTCACAGTGGGAAGGTAATCTTTTAAGATGACTGAAGTTCAACGGCATCATTGGACAAGCACCAAAATGAATGGGCACCCAACATTTCATTACATAGAGCAGAAAATCTACCCCTCCCTCTTTCTGACCCCTATTTTTAGAGACAAAATCTTTGTATGTTGCCAGGCTGGCCTCAAGCAATCGTCCTATCTCAGCCTCCTACACATACTACAGGTATGTGTTATCAACAACATGGTTTTTTAAAATCAACTTTGCTCCGTTGTTTCAAGAGTGATTGCTGACTCTTACCCTGACATTAACTTGATATCTACATGTCAACACACTGTAACCATTAAGTTATAGCAACATAGATGAAAAGAGAGTATAGCTTAAGTCACTTAAAAATATGTTTCTTTTACATGTATAACTGTTTTGCCTGCACATATGTCTGTGCACATGAATGCCTGGTGAAGGCCAAAAGAGAGTATTGAATCCCCCAAACTAGTAAGAGGCAGTTGTGAGCCACAAGATAGATGCTGGGAATCAGTCCTCTAAAAGAGCAATAGCCAGTGGTTTTTTTTTTTTTGGTTTTTTTGTTTTTTTTTTTTTGGTTTTACGAGACAGGGTTTCTCTGTATTGTTTTGGAGGCCGTTGGTCCAGCCCGGCCTCGAACTCACAGAGATCCGCCTGCCTCTGCCTCCCGAGTACTGGGATTAAAGGTGTGTGCCACCACTGCCGGCCAGCCAGTGGTCTTAACTATGGAGCCATCTCTCTAACCCAGAAAGACTTTTTAAATGGCACATTGCTTTGTGCTTATTATATCTATGAGACAACTGTTTGTGTGGAGGATCTTTTGAGATAGAATTTCACTATATAGCTCTGGCTGACCTGGAACTTACTATGTATAATAGGCTGATCACAAACTTGTGGCATGATTCTCCTGTCTCCAGATGAGACAACTATTTCTGAAACCCGGCTTAAAAAACAAACAAAACCCATGCCTGTATTTCCAGCAAAGGCAGGTGGATCTCTGTAAGTTCAAGACCAGTCTGGTCTACAAAGCAAGTTCCAGGACAACCAGGGTTGTTACACACAGAAACCCTGTCTTGAAAAACAAAAAACAAAAAAACCAGTTGACCTAGATGTATACCCAAAAGGTATCTGGAAAGTTATATGCATGGCCTGGGAAGCACACACCCTCTACAGGTACTGCCTGGGCCTGGGCAGTGGCTTCAAGAGCTTGTGCCAACACAAGTTTCAATGAGCCCATGGTAAATAAATTCACAGCATTCCAAGAGATTCTCTGTAATTTTTTCACTACTGCTATTGAGACAGGGTCTCACCATATAGCCTAGGCTGGCCTTGAGTGCACAGTCCTCCTGCCTCAGCTCCTAGAGTGCTGGGATTCCAGCACTGCAACAACATGCTCAGCTGGTTCTCTATGTTATAAACCACAGCTGTTCTTCTCCTGTCACTTTTTACAGTGCTTAGTGACACTGGCATTGCAAATAAACCAAACAAACACAGCAGCACTTTCGACAAAAACAAACAAAACAATGTACAAGGCATAACCTGTGTAGGTGCAGAGGCGCCCCATGGCCCCTGCCACCCTGTGTAGCTGGAGCAGTTGCGAGTGGGTGGCTGTGTGTGTCTCAAGGTGCTTCTTCCCCTTACAGTCATCACCTGTGGTGTGGTGACAAGGAGTGGAGTGACAGGTTAATATGCAAACCTCAATCAGAATATTGCATAGAACGTTCAAGAACCTAGGAAACTATCTCCCCAAATCACAGCAGGCACAGTCTGGGGATGATTCATTTCCAGCACTAAGGGCTTCTGACAGCCAGACTAGCCATGCTGGCCAGTGAAGCAATAAGCAAGGGTGGGCTGTTCATTCTGTATGAACGGAGCCCCAGTAGTACAGTGGGGCTGGGGCCCTCCAAGACCAGCACCACCTTCAAAGAGGAAGCCGTACTCACACAGGGACTCCCCGTCCACTCTGGAAAGTTCTCCGGCAGTCATCCTCCCACAGTGACCGAGATGGGCTGCAACACATGCAGAAGGGGCTGAGAACGCTCACAGCCAGCTTGAGTGCCAAATGCCCTATAAACCAGTTGACCAGAGACCATGCCCCAGGAGTATCAGAGATGCTGATGGCTCCCTCCACATAGGTGAGCACGAGCAACAGGAAGATCAGAGAGCTCCGGGCTGTTAATGTGCGTCAGCAATGACAGCTGAAGACTGGCTTGCCTAAAAGGTTTCTGGAGTGTGATTCTAAAGAGTATGCAAGTGAACTGGTTTTGCTTAATAAGCAAAAATCAAAAGCTGAGTTTATTAACTTTTTATTTTATTTTAAACTATGTGTGCTTGTCTGTGTGTCTGTTGTGTGGGGGGGTAATAGACACATTTGTGCAGGTGCACCCAAAGGCCAGAAGAGTATGTCAGATCCCTTGGTACTGAAGTTATAAGAGGGTATAAGGCTCCAATGTAGATGCTGGGAACCCAACTCAGGTTCTCCATAGGAGTAAAAAGCACTCTTAACTGCTGAGAGAGCCCTCCAGCTCCCATCCCTACTTTTTAAAAACTTTTAAAAAATGAACTTTTTACTTTGAAAATATTAAATTTGTGCCAGTGAGATGGCTCAGCGGGTAAAGTACTTGCCATTTGAACCTGAAGGAGAAAAACAACTTCACAAAGTTGTTCTCTGATCTATACACATAATAATAAACTTTAAAAACCTAAATCCTGACCAATTTTCAGAGCACTAAACTTGCACATATGCCCCATCAACACTTGACAAGCTCCCACAGGAAGAAGACCCAGAAAGCAGCCATGAGAGAGCAGCATGGAGACCGCAGGAGACACAGTGAAGAGCCTCAGAAGAAGCAGGGCTTCCTCCACCTTGAAAGCATGATTCGGTGGAGAAAGGAGAAAAAGTATTCAAATACCTTCTGACCCATGGCTCTTTGTCTCATAGCTTTGTGATTCATAAGCTCTGGATTCATAGCTTTTCAATTTGTAAGTTTCTGATTCAAAACTGAGCTTCATTAAAACCACTTGAAAAAGTTGAACTAGGAATGATGCAAAGGACGAGGAGGTGTACTTGGCCAGCCACAGAGTCCTATCCAGGTAAAAGGATGCACCGCCTAGTGGAAAACCATGAACACACGTCATTTCTTCCCACAGACTTGCTCACCCAATGAACCAGATGGCCAAACTTATTTTCAAAAGAAGCCAAGTTGCAAAGCATTTTTAAACTGGGCACCTTGGAAGAGACCGATCAGAAGAGCATCCCCCAGTGAGCCAGTCGGACGTAGAAGAAGCACAGTGGTGGCCTCTCCACAAGTGAGGTCTCAGGCTCTGGCACAGTGGGTGAGCATTGCAGGTCTCCCCTGTGAGGATGCAGAGCTATGGAGGCACACAGTGAAGGCGCCCTGGCTCCCACCATGGCTGGGCTCTGGAAGGCCGTTTCTTTGGGCCTAGTATGTGGAGGGAAACCCCATAAGTCATGTCTTCATGGTCTTGGAAAAATGTTCTAGGTAGAGTTTCTTCATGCTGTATGGAGTAAAGTGGTACGTGTGTGCTGTCTATTCCATAGACATCTGGATGCTGGAGACCCTGGCCCATGAAGTACTTCTTCCATTTACTCCCAAGCCCAGAAATGCTTGGCATGTTCAGAGCTTGAGTAGGAGGTCAGCATGAATCAGTGAAGTATGGGTGGCATGATTTGGAAGTAAATACTAGAGCTTCAAATTTTTCATAAGAGAGTTGGAGAGACAGTTTGGCAGGAAGGAGCCCTTCCAGAGGATCCAGAACAGTTCCTACTACCCACATAGCAGCTCACAGCCAGCCTGCCATAATCCCAGTATCAGGGGATTCAACCTCCTTTGACCTCTGCTGGACACTGCATACACATGACGCACAAACATATACACAGGCAAAACACCCATACACATAAAATGATACACCCATATACATAAAATAATAAATCTTATTAAGCTTGAGATTTTTTTCAAAAGGATAGTGAAGGGGCTATTTTCCAGTTGGAATGCTGTACTGTAGCAAAATCACAAACCTGGGCACTGAGTCCCAAAATCAAGAGGCTCCATAGTCAGCTGTGCATATGTCCCTCACAGCTAGAGGAACTGTTAGTTTCCTAGATAATCAAACACTCATCACACTGGCAAGATGTGAGCAAAAGAAAAATGTTGAGTTGGCAAGAGTAGGAGGGTTCCAAGGCTGAATGCAGGTGGCAGAGCATGTGTTTGGCAAGTGTAAGGCCTTGGGCTCAATCCCCAGGACCAAAGAGTAAAAGAAGGGAAGGAACCCATATCTGCTGCAGAGGATAATAAGGCAGGTCAGTCTTTATCAAAGGCAGCTGGAAGGATATATTTACACTGAAACAACACACAGCACAGGCATCAAAACAATGCCAATTAGCATACAAACTCTTACACTGCACAGTCTGGGCTATGGCTAGGCACTGACACCCAGGCTCAGCTGCATGGCTCAGTATATAGGCTGAACTGTTTGATGGTGCACTTCACCTGCAGACAGCTGGCAGTTGGTCTTTCTGTTACAAATGTTGGTTTGTTATGCAGAAGCAGAAGCTACTGGAGGACTGAACTCCAGCACCACCTGGTGCTGACTGGCAAAATGCCGCAAAACTCCAGGGCAGTGTAGTAATGGGGATACCTATACGGCCCAGCCCTGCCCCAGCATCAGGATCAGAGGCTCAGCTGTGCAAAAGAAGCTGTTAGCTTGGAGCATCTGAAATGAGCCCTGGCCCAGTGAGAGCTCTGTAATGAAAGGCCAGAGTGAGGCACCAAGCTCACCATGGTTCTCACACTCACAGATTTGATGAGGAAAAGCAGTGTCACTTGGTTCAGCCACCTCTCCCTTCCCTTTCTATAATTCTTACTTTGTGACATTACTGTTAAAGTGCTGACAACACCACAGCAGACAAGGCCTTAGACACAATAATAGGACTATGGAAGCAGAAGAAACTGGACACGAGCAATAAGGACTGACTGAATTCTTAGAGCTGTTCTGGCCTTCCTGGCACTCATAGTGGGAAGACCCAGCATCATGCCTGGAAGACGAAGAGTCTGTGGTCACTCTCAATATGGTCCAGGAGGAAGTTTGGGCAGTCCAAAACAACCTGCCTGCTCAGCTACTTGTAATGACCTCTGTATCAGGTAAGAAGGTCAGGATGCTGGCACCACCCATGTCATATACAATGATACAACTACCCAGATGCTGGGCTCCAAGTTACCTCCCCAGAGAACCCCTGTCTTATACTGTCACACCAGAGACTCCACTCTGGGCAGCATTGACTTGTGGTGCTATAGCCACCCAGGGAATCTGGGCTGCACTAGAGTGACACAGAAAAGCACCCAAGTTGGAAGCCACAGATGTACAAACTTTCTTTCTTTTGTTCGAGTCAAGTCCAAATTTACCAAATCTGAACTACTTCTAGGTACAAAAATACTAACCACAGAACCACAGGCTGGGAAGGGACAAGTAGGGCAGAGCTAATTCAGGTCTATCTAACTGCAAGAATAATTCTGAGTTCAACTCTATACAGGAAACAGTGCATGACATTAAGGCCTGTGCTGGGGGATGGAGCACAGTCTGGCCCATACTGGGCAAGCACTCTACCATGAGCCATATCCCTGTCCCACAGTCAAGATTTACATGAGCAGGAAGAGCTGGGCAGACCCGTTTACTAATTACAGCAGCAGGAGACTTACGGTGCTTTAGAGTCCTATCTCTGGAGTAAACCCTCGAGGTGGTCCCATGGATAGCAGGGGGGGCTGTGAGTGCATCAGTGCGCGCTGAGAGCATCCTGCAGTCACGACAGGTGTATCCATTGCTGGCTGACACCTCTGCTGCCAGTTCACCATTTCCCTGAGTGGTAGCTTTATTTCCACCTGAGGTTTTCAAAAGGCAAATAAAAGCTATGAATCACTCTCTACAGATTACCCATCTGTGGCTTCTGGTTTGAAAAGTATACAAAGTACCAAAGTAATTACCTTTAAGGTCGCCATCATCGTCAAGACCTGAAACACACATACACACACACACACATTACACTGTGAAATACAACCAATGCCCACCACAACTGTACCAGGTGACAGGCCAGTGCTATGCTGTGGCATTGTTGGGGTCTGTTCTTAAAATGCCGAACCTCCTGTCACCCAAAGGCGATGGCATGGGAAGAGCCCTGCATTCCAGCACATTCTGGCCCACAAGGACAGACAAGAGGGAAGAACTAGCCAGTTATATGGAGCCTCTAGGCTTTCAACTTACAGTATGGCCCTGGGCCTGAGACTGTTCCATGGCTGAGCAAAGCAGAGGTATCCCAAACCAAGCACTCAGGACTTCAGAACATAAGCTGAACTCAGCAGGCAGTTCTGTGGCTCTTAGCAGAGGACCTGTGCCTATGTGCTCAGCTTGGTGGCATGGCACAGGTCACCTTAAGGGTGCAGATGATCCGGTAGCTGAGTCGGGGCATGGCATCTTGCCAGCACTGACTGCTTCACAACAAGTCTTTTGTTTTAGAAGGGATCTTATGGAGCTCAGGTTGGCCTTGAATTCACTATATAGCTTAGGATTGGTTTGAGCTCCTGATTCTCCTGCCTCCACATTCTGGAAGTTTAGATTATGGGAATATGCAGTCATGTCCAGCTTATACAAGTATTTTCTAATGACTCAGGAATATCTTTACTGTCTAGTTGCTTCACAGTTTTCTAGAATATGCCAGGAATTTTATGCCACATTTAAACATCCCATGTTGAAAGTGGCCATAGGATTGCTACCTGCTCACTAAATTGATCATATTGCAGTGAGCAATAAATAATCATACCTCACCTAAGCCACTGAGGCAGCAAATGAAGGCAGCATCCACATGCCCCCAGGAGCCTGCAAAGAGCCTAACCTCACTGGTGGCAAATCATTCGTAGGCCAGCCTCTGCCCTTCCCAGAACAATTATAGACACAGCCATGCTGGAGATGGGGATGTGAGTCTCTGGTTACTAACCCCAGAAGTGGTCCACTTTGGTCTGCTCACGGATCAGAGACTCATCTAGCACAGGATGCCGCAGAGCCGTGGCACTCCTCAGGCTGCAAGAGCTGTCATGACTGGCGCTGGAGGACACTCCCTTCCCTGATAGGTGGTTGATACTAAAAGCTGGCTTGCTTGTACTTCTGCGCTGTCTGACTGTCCTACAAAGAAGTAAGAAATGCGCTTTTAGACTTTCTTAGAAAATATAAAAATCACTCATTTTTTTTTTGTTGTTGTTGTTTTGTTTTGTTTTTTTGAGACAGGGTTTCACTGTTTAGCTCTGGCTGTCCTGGAACTCATTCTGTAGACCAGGCTGGCCTCACAGAGATCCTCCTGCCTCTGCCTCCCAAGTGTTGGGATTAAAGGCATGTACCACCACTGCCCAATGAATCACTCGATTTTACCTCACAAAATTTGTGCCAGAGATCACACTCAGCATTTTAAGACTACTTATTTTCTTTTTTTTTTTTTTAAAGACTACTTATTTTCTTATGCCTTCTCTGACATAATCTAAACATCCATTAATCTAAAAACAGAATTTTTTTAAACTGGAGTCCAAGAACTTCAAGCTGGGCAGTGATGGCACACACCTTTAAATCCCGTACGTGGGAGGCAGAGGCAGGCAGATCTCTGTGAGTTCAAGGCCAGCCTGGTCTTCAAAGAGAGTTCCAGGACAGTCCCCAAACCTACAGAGAAACCCTGTCTAGAAAAACCAAAAAAAAAAATTAAAACAAAGGCTACAGCTTATACATTCAACCATGTCACTCCCTTTTCTGAACAAGTAACAGTATACACACACCAGCAGCCCTACTGCTTCTACAAGCAGCTGCCAAGCACAGCAAGAGGCAATGGTTAACTGAAGGAACTTCTGCCTACATTCATATCACACAACACAAATGACAGCTGAATGTGGTGGCACCTGTCTTTAATCCCAGCAATCAGGAGACAGAAGTAGGCAGATCTCTGTGAGTTCCAGCTAGCCCTGCTACAGTGTGACTTTGCTTCAAAACAAACAGACACACAAAAATCCAAATGTCCTATATGCATCTTATATAAGTGGTGGGAGTAGGTACACACAGGTCAAAGCACCAAACCATGGCCTCCAGGAAACTGGTGTGGTAAAAGTCAGCGTTAATATACAGCACAGTCAAAAGCCTGCTCTCTTGGGGGGGGGGACGACAACGACGTCTTCTGGGCACCACAGCACCTCAGGGTGGCCCCACAGTAAGCTGTGCTACTACTTAACAGTCATCTGACATTTTATGTGACAGCCTGCAGGTCTCAGGGTAAGGCACACTACCACAGGGCCCTATGCAGTGTGGACAAGGTGCCAGCAATCTCAAGACCCCTTGAGGGTAATGTAGTTTTTACTTTACCTGAGCAAAATAAACTAAAGGTTATCACTTCTGCCAGGCATGGTGGCACACACCCTTAATCCCAGCACTAGAGAGGCAGGTGGATCTCTATGAGTTTGAGGCCAGCCTGGACTATATAAGCAAGTTCCAGAACAGCTAGGACTGTTACACAAAGACACCCTGTCTTGAAAAAAAAAAAAAAAAAAAACTAAGTGTCACTCCTATTCAGTGTCTCAGAAAGGCACAGATGGTGGGAACTTTTGCCATTGGCTACAGTGAAGACTAGCATGGAAGGTAGAGAGACAAAACATACTAGGCAGTCCAACTGTATGTGCATAGCTCACACAAGTCACAGACAGGTTTGAGTCAGCTGTGACACATCAGCAACACTGCAGCTGCCGACCCAGCAAGACTCCACCCCTCCACATTTGGTAGGCCACTGAAGATCAGCCTATCCCAGGATGAAGTAGTTTATGCCTGTGATCATGACACATTCATCCACATTGCCATCTTATCTCATGCACATTAGCATATCAGCTCCATTCTTGGGTAGACAGCAGATACTTTGAGCACTCCAGGACAATTTCAGTCAGCTCACAGGACAGATCTGCACATGAACACATGTATGTGTGCACATACAATTCCAGGGAAAGAGCTTGCTTTGACAAGCTGGAAAGCCGGTGGGTTTGACAGCTATGAAGACAAGCCACATGGTGCTCACCTGGTTTCTTTCTCCTTGGAGGGGGTGGCCCTGCTGGTGCAGATATGGGTATCAACAGCCTGGCTGTCCCCACTGCTATACGTTGCTGTTGTTGTGACAAGGCGCAAGCTTCGGCGGGACATCCTTGGAGAGTCAAATACAGGTTCCAACCTGTGCTCAGTCTCAAAATCCAGAGCATCCGAAGAATAACTAGAACTGGAGAGAGACAGGGCTGGAGGAAGCACTGGCTGCCAGGCCAGGAGCCGAAACATTCCTGTGTACTAACTTTATTGCACTGCAAGGGCAGGCATCAGTCAGTCAAACAGCCATGCATGGGCCTTCGCCAACCCTTTCCCCTGCAGACTCCAGGTGGGCAGACCTGGAGCTTCATCTGAGAACAGTTGTTTAGGGCAGGCCAAGACTCCTAGAATCCTGATGGGGCCACTAAGACAGTGACACTACAGGGACTGGAAGTAAGATCAGCAATATGTTCTTGAGAAGAAAATGGAAAGCCCCAGAATACACATTTCATACATTGAAGGTACGAACATAAAATCCTTCTGAGCCATGGCAGTCCTTCCAATGCTCTCCTCACAACTGTCAGATCAGTGCAATGGATAGAAAAGATGCACTACTCTGTGTGGTATCCAGTTTGTTCATGCCAGAAGCCAGCTGGTTCCCCTCTCAGGAGACACAAAGTAGACAGGGGAAATGACAGCTACCTTGGGGAGTATTGCTCTATAGGCAACCCCAGGAGCCAGGAGGAGCTAGTGGCTTTCCAGCTTCATGCCCTGCTAACACAGGGGCTCTGTGGCCTCAAGGGTATGGGTGAAGTAAGATCTCACAAGTGGGACACCAAGTCAGTCTGGTAAGTGCCGCTGGTCAGACCACTCAGAAGGCAGTTCAAGTGGTATCAGCAGGCATGACCTTTAGGACGTCAAGGATGCTTGAGATAGGGTGTGCCAGCAAATAGTCTGAGTCACGATAAGAGCTGACAGCAGGGTACTCAATAAGAATACTTGCCAAGCCAATTTCAGTGAAACCTAAAATTAGACAGCTTCCTTCTAGCAGAATACTTTACACAATTATGGCTTTAGTTTACAAAGATTGTATTTCACACTGGAATTGATCTATCAATGGACCAGCACTGTGGTGATTTGAACAAGAATGATCTCTAAAGCCAGGCAGCCTTTAATCCCAGTACTTGGGAGGCCGAGGCAGGAGGATCTCTGGAGTTCAAGGACAGCCAGGGCTACACAGTGAAACCGTCTCAAAAAACAAAACAAAACAAAAAGGTCTCCAGATGCTCCTATATTGGAATGGAACTATTTGAGAAGGATTAGGAGGTGTGGCCTTGTTGGAGGAAGTGTGTCACGGGGGATGGACTTTGTAGTTTCAAAAGCCCACACCAGGCCCAGTGTGCCTCTGCCCACCGCCTTCAGATCAGGATGAACTCTCAGCTACTTCTTCAGAGCCATGTTTGCCTGTGTGCTGCCTTGCTTTCTGCCATGAGAATAATGGACTAAACCTTTGAAATTTTTAGAAGCCCCAATTAAATGCTTTTGTTTGTAAGAGTTGCTTTGGTTATGGTATCTCTTCATTGAAACAGAACATTGACTAAGACAGGTACCATCTCTGCTTCCCATTCTTCTTCCCACATTCACCCTCAGACTCCAGCTGTTGGATAAGGGATCCTCACAGCTCAGGGTGTGTTTGACACTGTGGTGTGGTAAGAAGAGCACAGGCTGTCTGCTACCATTCTGTCTGCAAAGGATCAGAACTATCTAGCCAGAGAAATGAGGCCTACCACATGGAGGCTAAGAGAAAAAAGAAACTGTCCCACTCACTGCTAACTAAGATCTGTATATTAAATGACACCTCAGGTTGTGTGGTAAACATTTTGCACACACATGGTTTGTATGTGCAGGTCAGAGGACAACTTATGAAGGACAGTTCTTTCTTCCCACCATTTGAGTTCCAGGGATAGCAGTCAGTTCACTGGGCTTGGTGATAACACATGAATAAACCCACTAAGCCATCTCCACAGACCCTAGAATTCACTTGGTAGGCCAGGCAAGTCTCAAACCTACTGCCTCTGCTCTCCTGAGTAGCAACTGCACACACACACACACACACACACACACACACACACACACACACACACACACACACACACGCAGAGTTCCTCAAAGAGGGAAGTCTGACACACACCCTTCCTTCCTGCAGAATCCTGCAGCCATGTTCTGTGCCCTGTACTGAGTCCCTCCCAATCTCCAGGGACTTTTCCTTCTTAGCCACTTCTTCCACTCTCCACACCTTAGATTCTCTCTTAGGTCTTACCATAGCATTCAGACTCTCTCTCAGCAGGGCCCAAAGCAAAAGGTAACAAGCACACTTGTCTATCTCATGCCCAACTCCACCAGACCAGCTAGACCCTGGCTTTAAGCAGCTGACTCACAATGTTCAGCCTCACCATGCCTGGCAGCCTCCCTCCTGCCAGAAGAGGAAAAGCAGTGACTGCCTACAGAGCAGACAGCTCCAAGCCTGAGGACTTCTGGGTGAGGCTTCTTCTCTGAGGGAGGCAAAGGCCACCAACAGCTGCCATGACCCTTGTGAGCAGCTGACTGGGCTGACAACAGGTGGGTCAAGGAACAACACAAGCCACCTCAAATCTCCAAGAGGAGCCCCAAGTCTCTCTAGATTACAACACAAGACTCTATCACACCACTGGCATGGAGCCATGCCAGTGAAGAGAGCCAGTATGGTGATGTATAACTGAACTTCAGTGCCAGGCTAGTTTTAAGGAGCTCCTCCTTAAAAAACAAAACAAAACAAAAAACAGTAGCTGCAGAAATAAATCAGTTATTAAAGTGCTTTAAATACAAGAGGAAGGACTTGAGTTCAATCCCCAGCACCCACACAAAAAGACAAGTGTGAGTGGCCTGTGACTGTAACCCCAGCACTGGGGAGAAACAGGTCGATCCCTGCCAGTCTCACTGAATCAGTGAGCCCCAGGTTCAGATCATGTCTCAAAAAAGAAGGTAGATGATACCTGAGGTTGATACTTGCCTCAACACACATACAACTTCAGGCACACAAATATGAAAACCTAGACGTATGTTATGTATACACACAAACAAGTACTTAAACTTCTAGACCTAATACCACTTCACAGGTAGACACAAGGAAGAAGCTATTCAAACACATCACCCGTTTGAGTGATGTGAAAACACCCTGTGAACAAAAGGAGACAAGAGTTGGGAAACTTTTTTTTTTTTAATTCTCTATGTAGACCAGACTGGTCTCAAACAGAGGTCTACCTGCCTCTGCCTCTTGAGAGCTGAGGTTAAAGACCTGTGTCACCATATACCACCAAAACTAGGCATGAGGGAGCCAGTGTCACTGCAGGATGGAGCTGGTGGCTCTCCAAATTCTCACAGTGCATTTTCCAAGAGAAACACATTTTACTTAAACGCATGGATAGTTACTGAGATGACTAAGAATTAAGACATGGAAGCTGCTGAGCCAGCACTGGAATGGGTTAGCAGCTGTTACAGGAGCAGAGTAGGGTGCAGCTGCTTTGCCTCCTGCCACACTGAGATTCTGGCTGGGGACCATGACAAGTCTTCAGAGAAACTGGGACCAGAAGCCTAGGACTGTACCCACAAGCTTCCTGTGCCATGGCTGTGCCTAGGCTGACTGTCACCCACTGGGTCTTCCCTCCATCTCTGTCAGCCCCACTCCTCTGTTCCAAGCCTGCTTTGCTCTGTCTGGGACATGCTGTCCATGGCCTATGGCAATCTGTCCATAGCCTATAACAATCTCACTTACTTTTGGGGCCCAGCTGCTATCCATTGGTAACTGGTTCAGACCCACAGTCACCTGACTTGTCAATTCTATCTACCAATGACCCAACTGAAGCTGAGAATACCACTAATGGCTCTCATGGACTACCCATCCACCTCTGCATTCCCAGACAGGTCTGGCCTACTTGAGTTCTACATACTTTAAGCACATCCCTGTGGATTAAAATCCTCGGCTGAACCCCAGTCTACATACCTAACACATTGCCACCCTGTCACCATTCCTCCATACCACCTGTCCACAGGCCCCACAAGCCTAACTGAGCAAAGGTGGCAGACTTTACTGCAGCTGAGCACAGCTTTCCCTGGACACATGGATTAACACTGTACTTAAAATAGGTCATAAAGGTTAAAAATAACTACTAAGAATAACTGTCTCTATGTTCCCAGACAGGCTCAAGAAAGCCACCTGAGCTGGCTACTCATTTACTTCCGATATACTACAGGCTTCTGACCAAAACATTGTGAGTTTGAGGACAGCCTGAGACACATGGGGATAACCTGTCTCAAAATATAAACTGAGCCCAGCAAGTATCCCTTCCAGTGCAACTGGACTGAGGATGGAAATAGAAGAATTATCACATCACAGTTGACCACTGCTGTCCAAAAGCATCTTCTTGGGGCAGGGGAGACAGTTCAGAAAAAAAGTGCTCACCAAGGTGGTGTGAGAAAGGCATGGAAGCCTGTCTGTAATTCCAGTGCTCAGGAGGCGGAGATCCCCAGAACAAACAGGCTAGCTAGACTAACCAAACTGGTGAACTCTGAATTTGGTGAGAGCCTGCACCAATGAAACAGGTAAGAGCAAACAAGGAAGATACCCACTGACTCACTGTCTATCTCTGGTCTCCATGTACACATACCAGCTCACAGGTATGCCCACACATATGCAAATATGCGCACGCGCGCGCGCGCACACACACACACACACACAGAGTATTTTCTTTAGATAGTTCCTGACTTCCTTTAGGTTTTCTTGTGGATTCACCCTTACAGGTGAAGCCACCACTGGACAATAGACTCAGCACACACATCCCATGTGCCTCCTACATCTTGCCAAGCACCTAAGTTTTCCCACTGGCCAGCCATGCCCTAACCTAGTAACAAAACTGATTCTCCTTGGCGCACACCACAGCTTGCAGTGAGACCCTCTGCAATCATCCTTTCCATTTGGTGAACTGGAAAGGAGCAAAGCAGCAAGCAGTTACTAAAGCTCAAAGGACCCAAAACATCCTGTCTGGACCATGCTCCCGGAATTTGGTCTTCCAAAGGCAGCCCCAAGAGCAGGGTATCTCTGGAGGGATGCCCAAACTACTGACAAAACACTTGTTATACTTACAGGCTTGCTCCCAATCATGGCCACAGGGTGGAGCCTGAAACAGTGAATCACTCAAAGTGACTAACACCTGAGTCACTGGAAGATGTGACTCAGAAGCCCACAGCTCTAGGAGCCACTCATGGCCTCCATACCCACTTGGTTGTGGAGAACTCAACACTGTATAACTGATACATCAACACATAGCTGCGTGCTCTGAGGCTTTGTGGTGCTGCATCATGATGGGACACTCACTCACCTGAGTGCGTAGGTGTAGCCAGTGTTCTCCGGCACACACTGGGGTGGAGTGTATGTATGTAGCCGAGAAAAGTCCATGTTCACCACCTCAGACCATGCTGCAGAGGGAACAGAAGAGGACCAGGTGTTAAAGGGTGAGCAGAGGTTCAGAGACAGAGCTGGCAACCCCATTTTGATTGAAACTGATAAGTTTTTCTTAGTCCCAAGTCAAATAGCTCTGTCATGTGTCAGTTCCAAATGCGCACATAAAAACTCCAGCCACATCTATCTCTCAAGATGCATTAAAGCTTTACTGCAGAAGGAAAACAAAACAAAACAAAAAACTCCAGCCACCCACCAGGGTTGTGGATCCCAGAACCCACACAGAGCCAGACACAGAAGTGCATCTGTAATCCCAGATGGCGTACACAACCACAGTGTCCAGGTGGAAGGCAGTGAATAACACTTGCAGCTGAGCCGGGCGGTGGTGGCGCACGCCTTTAATCCCAGCACTCGGGAGGCAGAGGCAGGTGGATCTCTGTGAGTTCGAGGCTGGGCTGGGCTAGTCCAGCCTCGAAAACAATACAGAGAAACCCTGTCTCGTAAAAACCAAAAACAAAAACAAAAAACAAAAAACACTTGCAGCTGTCCTCTGACCTCCACACACACACACACTATATGCAACCCACACACAACCAAAACCAAAAAGTAACAAGTGAGTGAGACATGGTAATAATCCTAACACTAGGGAGGCTGAAGCAGAAGATTTACCTAGAGTTTGAAGCTAGCATGGCCTACAAAGTGAGCAGCTCATTAAAAAACTATCAAGAGAAGTCCTGGGCCAATTTATAATGACTTAAATGGTGCACTTTCCAAGAAAACCTGACAGTGACTCCAGAGCCCTTTTCTGAATTGTTGAACTGTTACTTTCCATCACTATTTTTTGTTGTTGTTGTTGTTGGCTTTTTGGAGACAAAGTTTAACAGCTCTAGATATCCTAGAACTCACTCTGTAGACCAGGCTAGCCTTTAATTCACAGAGATCCACCTGCCCCTGCCTCCTGAGTGCTGGGATTAAAGGCATGTGCCACCTCCCAGTATTATCATTTCTTTCTCCTCTTCCTCCTTTTTTTTTCCTTTGTTTAGCTTGTTCATTCCTTTGTTTGTTTTTTTGAGACAGGGTTTCTCTGTGTAACAGAGCCTTGACTGTCCTGGAACTCATTTCGTAGACCAAGTTGACCTTGAACTCACAAAGGTCTGCCGCCTCTGCTGCCTTCCAAGTGCCAGGATGAAAGGAATGAGACACCACACCTGGCTAAAAAGATATTTATTTTACTTTATTGGTCTCTCTATGTAGTTCTGGAACTCACTGTGTAGACCAGACTGCCCTCAAACTCACAAAGATCCCCCTGCCTCTGTTTACTGGATGCCTAGTTTTAAAGGTGTGCACCACCACACTAGGCCTGTGACTTTCCGTTTCTTGAAGGGGTCATATGCTCTCAGTCTTCTGGAATAAGAGGGCTAACTTTTATCCTATGGTCAGAGAGTACCACTGCCATCCTATGCTGCAAAGCTGGGACTTGCACAAGCACCTCAGAACCAAACAAAAAAACCCAGTAGCAGAGAATGGGAGGAAAAAGAAGAATTTCGACACTTTATACCTTCCCCTCTTGACAAACATAAAACTGTGGAGAGCTCATTGTTTCTCAAGTTCTCATCTTTGATTCTTTATAACTCAAATCTTCCTCTGGCTAAAAATACAAGGTACATGTGTGCAAACACACACACATTTAATGACATGTACTCAAAGTTCTCATAAAGGTGGGAGGCAGCTCGGTAGGACTGTGCTTAAGACTACGCACATACTATTTGCAAGGTCCCAGGTTCCACTCCAGAACTGAAAAACAAAATAAAATTAAACAACTGCTCATAGTAATGGGAATCATAACCCATTGAAAATCCAGGGAAATGAAGTGGTGGCTGATACCTGCAACTATGGCATTCCAAAGCAGGAGGAGTGCTGTGAACTCCAGGTCAGCCAGAGCTACAGGTAAAACCCTGTTTACATGCTTTTAATCCCAGCACTCAGGAGGCAGAGGCAGGTGGATCTCTGTAAGTTTGAGGACAGCCTGATCTACAAAGCTGCACAGAGAAACCCTGTCTCAAAAAAAGTCAAAACCAAATAAATAAAAGAAAATGGAAAATAGCACTTCCTGAACAACAGCAAAAAATTATACATGAATGACAGTTAAAGGCACTTTCATTACATCATTTTTTTTTTGGTTTGTTTGTTTTTGTTTTTTGAGACAGGGTTTCTCTGTGTAGCCCTACCTGTCCTAGAACTAGCTCTTGTAGACTAGGCTGGCCTACAAGAATTCAGAGACCCGACTGCCTCTGTCTCCCGAGTGCTGGGATTAAAGGTGTGCACCACCACTGCCAGGCTGACATTTTCTTTTCTACTTAAAGATATATTTTTTTTATGAGTGTTTTGCCTGCATATATGTATGGGTACCATGTGCATGACAGGTGCTCACAGAAGCCATGAGAGGGTGTTGTTGTATCCCCTGGAATTGTAGTCACAGATGGCTGTGGGTGCTGGTAAGTAAACCTGGGTCTTCTACAAGAGCAGGAAGTGTTTCCACCCACTAAGCTCTAACAGTTTTCCTTAAATAGCCCAAATATTCCATTAAAGATGAGACACTCATAAGGGCTATCATATCTATATGATATCTCTATGGTGATACATGCCTATCATCCCAACATCTGGGAGACACAAGCAAGAGGATCAGGAGTTCTAGGGGAGCCTAGGATGTAAGACTAGGTGATAGATTTTGCTACTACAGCATTGATACTCTTTCTTTCTGTTTCTCTCTCTGTCTTTGTGTTTGTCTCTCTCTCAAAGAAAAGAAGTCTCACAGTGTCTTCCCGGCTGTCCTCCAACTCATGGCTCAAGCAATCCTCCTGCCTTAGCTTACTAAGCAGCTAGGACAGCAGGCACTTGTCACCACACCCAGTAGGTCTAAGAACCTCACAGCACACCTGAGTTCAAGAAAACACTTCTGCCTGCCAGCCACACTCTTGGCAGGTGAGGGGATGTGTGAACAACATCTGTAGATAGCAGTAACTGCTGAATCCAATAATGCCTGATACCTGCTTAGCTTCTCCATGCCCTCTTTGTATGTTAGGAGCACTTGAACAGACCCAAAGGAGACTGTCAAGGCACAGAACTGGACATCTCACTGGCTCCAACCTCCTGGCTGGCTCCGGGGCCTCACGCACACTGCCTCCCAACCTCCGAACAATGGGGCCCTGCCCTGGTAGAATGTAATAATGGATTCTGAGCAGGTAACCAAAACATTCTGGACCGAGTGACAACATCAATAACCGCTCCTACTTTCATTCTTCAGGACAGGTGTTCAACTCCTTCTCATCATCCCGTTATTCACTTAACATCAAAATCAAATTTTCTACCTTCATTCCCCAAAGTGACTTTTCTTTTTTTTAATAATTTTTTTTTTTTTTTTTTGGTTTTACAAGACAGGGTTTCTCTGTATTGTTTTGGAGGCTGTCGGTCCAGCCCGGCCTCGAACTCACAGAGATCCGCCTACCTCTGCCTCCCGAGTGCTGGGATTAAAGGCGTGTGCCGCCGCCACCACCACCGGGCTTAATAATTTATTTTATTTTATGAGCATTGGTGTTTTGCCTGCATGTGTGTCTGTGTGAGGGTCTCAGATCTTAGAGTTATAGGCAGTTATGAGCTGCCATATATGTACTGGGAATTGAACTGGGTCCTCTGAAAGAGCAATCAGTGCTCTTAACTGGCTGAACTGCAGTAGACTAATGAATAAGGAAGGTATTGGCCCCCTACTCCAAAGGGTGGACAGTGCATTTTTGACCTGGCTCAACCCCAGGACATGCAGAGCAATGCCAAAATCCAATGGCTAATGCCTACCAGCCCTGGTGTGGATGGAAGACAGAGAACACTGTGGGTAACAGCAGAGGGAGACTCAGTTCTGTCATTCCACTCAGCCAAGACTTGGTTCTCAAAGCTGGGGATCAGGGTCATGTAAGCAACTACATATGCTTTTCTATCTAGAGGAATACCTGAGCATGCTCACTCCCATGAAGCTAGATGAAAGCCCCAGGACATCCACCACACACCATGACCCCTGTATAGCTCATCTCAGTTCCCTGTCAGTGGAACACCCCCATGACAGTATCCAAGGAGAACCTAACTTCCTCTGAGCACAAATCTACAAGAAGACAACCAGGGTCATATGCCAGCTTCCCATCCAGAGCTGGAAGATCACAGAAGTAGGCAGAAGACCTGCAGCTAAGAGTGGTGGGCTCTGAGAAGGTTTTTGATGAACTGGGATGCAAAGGTGATGCCATACGAATACAAGTGTGAACACACGCTGAATCCAGGCAGCAAGGTCTGGGGCAGGACAAGGAGGAAGCAGTTATTATGGCAGCAGGCCTGCAGACCCTGAACCCTCGCCCCATTAAACCTGATGCCTCTCGAATCCAGAAAGCCCTGTGATCACATTCTCCAGAGAAAGCCTACTAAACACAAAGCTGTGTGCAGAGCATCACACTCCCTGCTTCCCAATATTGCTTAGTAAGGGCACTGACCCATCTGCCTTGGGCCCAAACTTACCAGTCCAGTGGTCTACTGATGATCCAGACAATTACCCCAGAAAACATGTCTGGACACATAGGTTAACATACATGGGCATGCATACACACTTACTCTCCAAAGTACAAGGCTCTGGAGGTGCTGCACAGAATTTGCCAGACAAGAGAGCAGCCCACTCCTCCTGAAATCACTGCATTAACATGTATTTTACTCTATGGCACACACCTGCAATCAATGCTATTCAGGAAGCTGAGGCAGACAGAAGGATTGTGAATTCAAGGCAGCCTAAACTATATAGAGACAGTAAGATGATCTCATAAAACCAAAACAAAGCCGGGTGGTGGTGGCATATACCCTTAATCCCAGCACTTGGGAGGCATCAGCAAGTGGATCTCTGTGAGTTTAAGGCCAGCCTGGTCTAGAGAGCGAGTTCCAAGACAGACTCCAAAGCTCCACAGAGAAACCCTGTCTCCGAAAAAACAAACAAACAAACAAACAAACAAACAAAAAAACAGAGAGGGCAGAATGGATTAGTACACGTAAGACAAAGCCTGATAGGCACACACTGCAATGTTAGCTGCAATTACTTTGTAGGAAAAGAAACTATGTTTCAGTTAAAAAACAAAGAAGAGAGAGAGAGAGACTGGTTCAAGCTAACAGCTGTTAAGAGAGAGACAGAATGGGCTGGCAAGATGGCTCAGCAGGTCAAGGCACTTGTAGCCAACCTAACTACATGAGTTCAAATCCCCGGGACCCACATGGTAGAAGGAAAAGAACTGAGAACTGACTCCACAGGCCATTCTCTGACCTCCACATATGTACACCACAACACGAGTGCCTTTCTTCTGTGTCTCTGTCCCTGTCTGTCTGTCTGTGTATCTTTGTGCCTGTCTGCATATCTGTCTGTCTCTCTGTCTCTCTGTCTCTCTCTCTCTCACACACACACATACACACACACACAGAGAGAGAAAGAAATAATAAAGGAATGGAATGTATAAGTTTAAAATAAATAAATTTGTAAAAAATATTTGTTTCCTCCTAGGTCAGCAATCCCAGAGATGAAAGATTAACTTAAGCCTGCCCTGAACAAAAGACAAAAGTCCACTGATCAGCATGGATGGCTCAACCACGCCTGGACCCTCACAAGCTCATGCCACCACCTACAGGCCAAATGTAATCTGCTGCACCTCCTTCTGGTGTCCAAGAACAGGTTTAGCATATTCACAATGTTCAATCTCCAAGGTCCCCTCATCTGCTGACCACAGTCCACCTCCTGGCTACACCCTGAAGAGACTGCTCTGTGGGGCCTCAGTCTATGGGACTGGTGGGAAATGCTCTGCACCTATTGGCCAAAGGGCAACAAAACTGTAAGTCAAGAAATGCGACTGTTTTTAACAGCATCAGAAGACTCTGAAAAGAACCTATGGGTCACCAGAGGTCCTGTCGCTCCTCCAGCCTTTCTGGCTACCTGAACCAGTGTCACTACTGACATGACTTTGTTCGTCCCACATTCCTCACAGGTGCGCTGAGTGCACACTGCAGGGCACTGGCCTAACACTGGTGTCCACAGAGAACATAAGGAGGAGAGCCAGCACGCCAGAGAAAGTTGACACAGGAGAGGCTCTGCCTTCCAAGTCATCCAGATGAGGCCTGCCTTTGTCCTGTGCTTATGCTGTCCAGGAGAACACAGGCCAGAAAAGAAAACTGTTCAGATGCAAGTTCTCATTCCTAATACCAAGGATAGAACCAGGGCCTTTACATGTTAGGCAAATGTTGTATCCGTGAGCCATGTCACCAGCCCTGGAAGTGTTTTTATAAGTAGGCATATCTCAGCAGGATCCTTCAGCCACACTGATTTCTAAGTAACACCACTCTCCCCTTGCAGGATCCACACACACTAAGGATGACAATACTAAGTCCAGGTCTTGTCTGTTTTGGTCAAAAGTGAGTTTCAGTCCTTCCACCCTATCACCTGAATGTTTGCCACCTAGAATGCCTGTGTTTACTTTACAGCAAAACAGGAAACACATCAGGAAATTTTCAGTAATAAATTAAATGTAGCTTCATACAAACAACACAAACCCAAAACACAGAAGAGAATTGCAGCTCTCAAATAAATCAAGTACAATCTTTCTACTGGTCCCTGCTAGGGGCCACAGCTGGGGACAGCTGCTTGGCTTGGGCCTTAGGCTACTGGCCACACAAGGGATTTGATCTGTACCTACAGAGACGAAACCCTATGTGAAAAATGACAAAGCACCTGGTCTCAGAGACACTCTGAAACGCAAACTTAAAAACTGATGGGAGCACCTCCTTCTGTCTCTAGGAAGGTGGAAGATGCTGCAGTTGGAGTTGATGCCTCCTGGCACTGTCAATAAAGTACACCTAGCAAGCCATGTCACAGCTTTGAACACAAATCACGAAGACCACAGCCATGTCTTAAAATCACTTTCCATACCATCTGAGGTCAAATCCCAGAGACTCAGGTCTGAGAGTTCATCCCAATACAATCTAAGGGGAGTGGGGAGTACAGGATGCCAGGCCCTCCTCCAGCTTCCCACGAAGCACCATCTGCCATAGGTCTCATCCTCAGTGGTACTCTGAAACCCCATCACACCCCCTACCCAACCCTTCCAGGAGATGCTTCCAGAAGAACCAGGAAAGCACAGACACACATTTCTACCTCCTCCTCGAGGGTTCACCATCACCTGGGACTTGGCTCTGCAGAGCACACAGGTGCTACCCAGCAGGCTCAATGACTATGTCCACTGTCAAGAAAAAAAAACTTGAAAAATTTTGTTTCTTTGGTTTCTTTATTGCAATGCAAAAGATGAAATGCAGGGCATTTTATAGATTAAGAAAGTGCTCTACAATTGAAAATATCCCAGAGTAACTTCTGTTAAATCAAATTTCTGCTAGCCTAGACTATAACTACAGAGGTTGATACAGGAGGATTGTGAGTTCCAAGCATGCATGGCTACAAAACAACATCTTTCTTGCCTCAAAAACAAATAATTCTGCCATACCCAATGCACAGACACACACACAGACACATTTTTAGACAACATTTGGTAAGTAGGACATGCTTGTAACTAAGCATTGGGAAGGCTGAGGTAGGGGCATATAGAATTAGAGGCCAGCCTGGGCTACAAAGTCAGACTTTACTTTAAAAAACAAATGAAAGAACTGGAGAGATGGTTCAGAATTTAAGAGCACTGGCTGTTCTTTCAGAGGTCCTGAGTTCAATTCCCAGCAACCACATGCTGGCTCACAACCATCTATAATGCGATCTGATGCCCTCTTCTGGAGTATAGGCATACATGCCAGCAGAACATTGTATGTATAATAAATAAGTCTAAAAAAAAAAAGCCAGGCATGGTGGTGAACACCTATAATCCCATCTCCCAGAAGGCAGAGACAAGTGGATCTCTGAATTCTAAGTCAGCTTGATCTACACAGAAAGTTCTAGCCCAGTCAGAGTTATAAAGAGAGACCCTGTCTCAAAAAAAAAACAATAAACAAACAAACCAATTTTAGAACATCAGTACCATAACAGTGTGATGGGATACGTCTGTAATTCCAGCTACTAGAAACGCTGAGACAAGATCTCAAGTTCAAGACCTGCCCGTACTACATGATACTCAGCTAG